ACTATTCCAGGTTGTTGGTATTTTACCTTCTACCCAAAGGAATGCAAGAAGGAGCCACTAGCCCAGTGCTTAATTATCTTTTCCTTCTATCTCACAATACATATTTCATAGGATTTAAACATTATATTTATTGTTGTGTATACTCTGTAACAATTCAAAAACTAGAGAGGAGCAGGAAGGTAGTTTTCCTGTGTATCCCACACATATCCCACCACCACAGATGATATTTGGGTGTGTATTTCTTCATTCTTACGTCAAGGCTTTCGCAAATCTGTGCAAACACTGACTTACATAGCTAATCTTTGTATTTCTCATTTGGTTTTCTAGATGTGGTTTGTTTTCTAAAATATCTTAGTAAATTGGAGAATTTCTTAGAATTGGAACTTGTTCAGATATGTATTTTCTTATTTTTCCTTCATGGTTTTATATATTTTCATTTAAATCAAACTCTGGGGGCCTTGCCTCAGCTATTAGAAGACCTGAAAGACTTTGTGTAGCTGTGCTCCTGATGAACTGCAGCTGGCTGTCCTCTCTTGCTGGTCCGGAGGGATGTCCAACTATTATAATTTGGCTTCATCCACAGCTTTTGTCTTCTCTGAGTTAAAGATGATTGGATCTAATTCGGCAAGCAGGTATTAGCAATTGCTACTGTGGGGCAACTGTTCTTTGCACAGGACTTATGAAAAATTAGCTTAAGAAGGACCCTGTTATAGCAAGAAAAAGATTCTAGAATCTGTGGAACAAATAATGTCTGTTAGCAGATTAGTCATGTAGACCCAAAACATCTTAGTGTTGTTCTGTGGAAAGATTTCTCTCTGACTTGACACGCTCTAACTGGTCATTCCTAGACCTGCAAAATCACTGCTGCTTCAGAGCAAATCGATTCTACCTACAAGAGAGCTCTTTGTGAGCAACTTTACTGGACAATTAGCTAGATGAGCAATACATATAAAACAGATGGAGCAGCCACTGGGTGGCAGCAGAAATGTAATAAATACCCTGTACCAATGTACTATCTTATTGTTTAATCCTATCACTTATTTAGCATGCTGTAAGACAGTATTATTTTCAATAATATATATGATAGATAATATTCATCTAATTAATTTCTCTAATATAAACTAGCATATTCAACTATGAGAAAAATAAACATTTAAAACTAACTTAACTGCCTAATATTCTATGAATATAATTTTTAATATTACCTAGAATGGCTTTGTGAAGTTGCATAGTTGCTTTTCCAATACCTAAAAGTTGCTATTACTTTTAATAGCCATAGAAACCTGATAACAGAAGTCACACATATTCAGAGAAGAAATGTTGAAGAATTCAGAAAAGATAAATAAAATTACTCACAATCTTCACACCTAGAATTAAACATTAATAGTCACTTGCGATTATATATATACTCTTTTTTGATGTAGAGTTGTTTTTTCAGCAATAACAATTGGCTGGATGTCATGGCTTATGCCTGCAATCCCACACTTTTGGGAGGCTGAGGCGGGAGGATCACCTGGGGTCAGGAATTCGAGACCAGCCTGGCCAACATGGTGAAACCCTGACTCTACTAAAAATACAAAAATCAGCCAGGTATGGTGGTGGGCGCCTGTAATCCCAGTTACCTGGGAGGCTGAAGCATGAGAATTGCTTGACGGGAAGTAGAGGTTGCAGTGAGCCAAGATCTCACCACTGCACTCTATCCTGGGTGACAGAGGGAGAGTTTGTCTCAAAAAAGAGAATAAATAAAAAAACAGGTCATTTTTACATAACATTTTAAGTGCTATTTTTCACTCAACATAGTACAAATTACGTATCATGTCATTGGTTATTTTTCTCAATATTATATATGGTGATTGCATAATATTCCCACATGGCTAGACCAATTTATATCATCAGTTCTCTTTTGTTAAATATTTGCCAATTTTTCCAATATTTACTCTTACAGATAACTGTTGTGAAATTTGAAGGCTAGGTAGCCAATGATTTTCAGCCTTCCAATATTAAGTGGTAAATTAATAGTTTATACAGAGAAAGATTCTGGTACAATGTATTTGTTGCTTTCTGATTAGAACTTTCGGATTAGAATCACTTAGAGTGATCCAACATAAAAACCTCAAGGGTGAGGGCCAGAATTCAGCATCCATTTCAATGCACTTTGAAGTTTCAGAACCATTAGCAATCTGAATAAAATTATATAGGCTGAGGACCTCAACAATAACATTACTAGAAAATGCACAAACTGGGAAGAACATTTAGCTTTCATTTGTCTCAATTTCTTCCTTTATTAAGTGGAAATGATGATATATCCTAACGTTAGGGTAATATTAAGGGAACAATGGTGTTTATCAAGAGTTCATTTCCAATTTCAAAATGCAGGCTTTGAAGACTCTGTTAGGAAGAATATGACTCTTTGGATACTAGAGATCATATATTGTGATCATAACAAACAACAAACATTATGCTAAGCAGTATATATGTATTCTACCCTCACAACAATCTTGCCAGGTTACCGTAATCCCATTTTATAGGTAAGCTTGGACAGTCAGATGGGTTAAGTAACCCAGATTACATTGTTTGTAAATGTCAAAATCTGAATTCAAACAAGACTTTCTGGTCCTATGGTCTGTGTTCTTTCAACTCTAGTATTCTGTCAGGCTATATACAGAAAGGTAGAGGTATAGCCAGCCAGACGAAGTTTCTTCCTGGTTCAATAAAGAGTTATTGTATGCTTACTGGTTTCTCTCTTCCCCATGGTACTTAAATATGGCAAGTGAGTATTCAGAGCAGATGCTTTTAGCGTTTATTGAAAGGCAAACCTTGAATTTATGTTTTTTGGATTTTTTAAGCCTTTGCATTTTACAGGCTCTAATTGTCAAGTACAGGTCAAGTGGTGTATACAGTGTTCAGAAGTTTTGAAAAAAAGTAACAAAATACTCCACTAAACAGAAACATATCTCTACTGACAGTTTTCTTAAAATTTACAGCTAGCCAGGTGCAGTGGCTCATGCCTATAATCACAGCAACTCTGGAGGTTGTGGTGAGAGGATCAATTGTGCCCTGGAGTTTGAGGTTGCAGTGAGCAATGATACACTACTGCATTCTGGCCTGAGTGACAGAGTGGGGCCCTGTCTCTAAAGAAAAGAAAAGAAAAGAAAAGAAAAAAGTACAGCTATTCACAACAAAGAAGACTGGAGCAGTCCACGCACACTGACATTTACCTAAAACTGCATGATTTAAAAGGGCAGGACCTTTGGAGAAAGTGGGTTCTTCCAGTTGACTTAATAACTTTGACTCTTACCTTCCTTATCTGAAAATGAGAAAACCACCTTCTTAGTTTTCATAGGTGGCTTTAGATCTAGCAAAGCCTGAGATAAAGTGATTAATACATAAGACCCTTTATTATCTTGCTTGGTGAATAAATAATCCTACTTTTTCTTAGAAGTCTAAGAACATGGGCAAAGGAAAAATAAATAATTTAAATCATTTACTGAAAAAGTTATACTTTTTGTCAAGTTGGGTCTTCGAAAATAGCTGATCTCATCACTCATGCAAGAACCTTGATAAACAGAAAGCCTTACAAGTTCATTATCTTACCTTGTATAGGAGCCTCCTCATCTTAATAGGAGATTCTGAGAATGAGAGATAATTTTATTTTAATTACCTACCATAGTACACTGAGATCCAGAGCCTTACATTTGTTTCTGCCTCTGCATAGGAGGCCTCTCCACTTGTTGTCCACTTGATGTGTTCCCACACTTTCACATCTTCCATTCTCTATGCAAATATTCTTTCCCTCTCGGTTGTTTTGGGCTGCACAACAGAATACCATGGACTGGTGGCTTCAACAATAGAAACTTATTTTCTTATAGTTCTGGACGCTGGAAGTCCAAAATCAAAGTGACAGCAGGGTTGGTTTCTGGAGAGGTCTCTCTTCCTGGCTTGCAGATGGCAGCCTTCTTGCTGTGTCCTCACATGGTCTTTCCTCTGTGTTCACATGAACACACAGAGATCTGGTGTCTCGCTCTTCTTATAAGGACATCAATTTTCTTGGATTACAGTCCCACCCTTATGACCTTATTTAAGTTTAATGACCTCCTTATAGGTCTTATTTCCACATACAGTTACATTGGGTTTAGAGGTTCAACTTATGAATTTGGTAGGGGGGCCACATTTCAGTTCATAGCACCTTTTCAGCGAGGCCTTCTCTGGGAGCCCTTTATACATTACAACCTCCACATTCTGATATTTTTTATACACTTACGATGCTTTGTTTTCCTTCATAGCACTTACCACTTTCAAATATACTATATGTGTTTTGTATTTATCTCTTTGTTACCTGTCTCCATCCACTAGAACAAAAGCTCAAGAATGTTGACAATTCGTTCATTGTGGTACCCATAGCATCTCTGCCATGCCTTGGCAAAGAGAAATCTACGACACAAACATTTATTGTGTATATTAATGAATTATCCCCATGTTATGCATGATAGAAGCAACTACAGATACCAAAGTAGAAGAGATATTACACCTTCTCTTCAGTAAATTTTAGTCCAGAGACATATAAGGCTCACCATAAATGAACTGTAGCTCCCTGTAACCATAAGATATAACTCAGGGAATGACCAAAAAGGAATATAGGGATCTGTATTGTACACAGTCCAGAAAGACATTTGCTTTCCACACAGAAACTAACTTCATCAGATTTGCATAAATCTATTTGCTAAACTATGAGTCAGGAAATCAGATTTTTCCATTATTAAAGTTATCATTCATTTTTGGTAATATATTAGCCTACTATGAAACATAAAAACAGGTCAAATCTGTGTGTGGAAGGATGTTTTAAAATCCACCTTCACAGTCATAAACAGAAATGTCCCGTGACCATATTTTAATAAACAACCACGTGCAAGAATAACTGATTACAGAGTCCAGTTTTTTTTTTTTTCTGATAAATTACTTTGATAGTCTTCAAAAAAAAAATAAAAAAGAAGGAAATTACTTTTAGGTCTTGACGAAAGGGTGTTCCAAGCGAAGAGTTCCCAAATCTTAGTAAGCTGGAAAGGTGGTTTTATTTTTTTTCAGCATCACTTCATTAATCTGAATGTAAAACTATAGAAAAAATAATGTCTAATTTAGCTAGAAAATAACACTCATTTGCTTGCTAAGGTCTAGCAACAAAAGAATGTTAATGCACATTACTACCTATGACTACAACAGAGAACACAAAATGAAATGAACAGATGCTGATTTACCTTCTCTGGTGAATCATGCATGGCACGAAACTGCAATCCTGAAGCAAGCTAGACCATCTGTGCTGTTTTCTCCAGATGAGCCAAATTTGATGACAAACCATTCTCCATATATGGGAGTTTTTCTTTCTTTCTTTTTCCCCATTTTATATTAGAAAGTATAGTTTCTCCAATAGAAGATGCAGAAAACTATTTTGCATCTTCTACTATCTTGCTAAATATTTTGACTCTGAGCCTGGAGAAAGCAGTCTGGAAATTAAATATAACTTCAAAAAAGACATCTTTTCAGAACTTGCATTCCTCAATTATTCTCTCCATCCATACGCAAGCTGTTCTGGGAAATAGGATGACCCAGAAAGGTATGTTTGAATAGCATTTCTGATAAATGTCTTCCGCCTTATGATAATGTTTTATGGTACAAATTTTCTTGAAAAATCAAGTCACCAGAAAAACGCTGTATTCTGTGTAATTCAGGGCCTAGCATAGAGATGGTGATAAAAAAAATTTTGCTTATCGAATGTTGGATGAATTTTGGCACCGAAAGTGCCTTCGTCTTTAGAATCCCTTGACAACTATTAAAGGTCAAGGAGTAAGGTCTTTTTATATTCAGTGAGATGACATGTTTTACTTAAGTAGAAAAGGAAGTTAAAATCTCTTTTTGAAAATAGGAAAATGCAATTTCTCACTAAATGTAAAGTTATAAATTTCTTAGTTTCACATTATCTTCAAATAAATACTTATTAAGATACTTAAAACATTAGGTTGCCAGATGGCTTTAAGATAAATATTTGCAAGCAAGAGGTGATAAAATATGGGTTTGGCCTGTGGGCAAGATGATGAGTCAGACACGAAGCAGGAATGTGAATCACCCAACGTCACGCTCTCACAGCTGAGGCAGGATGACAACGCAGCATGGACCACTTGGTGCTACAGACTAGGCTTCTCTGTGGAGTGACAGTCATCGCTTGTGTCCTCAGTCACCAGTGTGGAATTAAGAGAGTGGTAGGATTCACTTAACCAGGCGAGCGTGTCTTGGAAAAATACTGACACAGGTGAAGCTAATCTCTGGCACTATATATATCTTGGTGTTATCAGCTGGATGACTCTTGTATGCTTTCATTTTCTCCAATGATGAAAATATTTTCCTTCTGTGATCGCCAGCAGAGTGGGGAGCTTTTATTTCTCAAAAGTACTGGATGACACATTTATAAGTTCCCTGACTTCAATCCAAACTTGCAGCTTGCATGTGTAACTCTTTGTTTTCTTATCTGAGTCCTATTAAGTAATATGAATAGTCAGAAACAATTTCTTCTCCTTTAAAAAAATTAATTGCTCACTTTGCAATTTATATCAAGATACTCCATTTTTTTTGCCATTGGTTTCTGTAGTAGTCTCTGTAACACTAGTTGACTTTTACATACAGGAATATGTCTTATATTTTTAAAAAAGTATTAAACAATCAATGACCACCAAGGACATCAGGCACCATAAATATTGTTTCAATATGTTAACTTCTAAAATGTCAATTATTAACATTACCAACATCTGAACAAATTCCTAGATTCATGAAAGAAGGCTTTAGGGACAGAGCTCTGAACTATGTAAAGGATCAAGTAGTAAATATAGAAAGCCATGCTTGCTCATGTCTGCCTGCCAGCATAATTTCACAAAGCCCCTGACTCTGTGACAAGATGCAGTTCTCTGGAAGAATGCTTTGAAGACAAAACTGGATAGAGCACACGGTTCCCACATCTCTTGAATGAGTCACTATATTCCTTAAAGGATAAATGATCCTAGGCCTTGCCTATTCCTACAATAAGATGATGCCTGCAGGGTCAGTGATTATGCCTCTACAATTTATAACCAGATGTACTCTTGCACCCAGAATTTGATATGATTTTGCACGTACTGAACCTTCACTGCCTGTATAAAAGCGATGAGCCAAAACAGTTTTGGAATAGTCTTATGGCACCTCTCTGAAAGATCTCTCCAAGGCTATAATCCTGAGTCTATAGTCCCCAGTAAGACTTCTGAAGAAAACTAACTTTAATTCTTTACAAGCTTGATTTTTTTCTCTCTAGTGGACAGTCAAAAAACTTAAAAAGATCATTATCAGAAAAAAACAGTCTCTTTATTGATGAAGCCTGTTCCAGGAAAGCAATTGGTATACCGATGGGGAAAAACTTGCTCTCCTGCCCCGTGGTACTGCCCTTAAACCATGGCAGATGAGGGGAATATGTGTCCTTCTAGAGGTCTCATTCTCAGCCACTGGCAACCCTACATAGTTTTACCCACTTGGTTGCTTCCTTCCTCATTGAACCTTGCACATATCTGGGTTATATTTTTGTCAGACTAAATTATTTTATTGTCTTTCCCACTGACCTATATATTTTTTCAAGGTCTGAGACCCTCTGATTTTTCTAGGAATCCTCAGGAGTTAGCAAAATCTGTGTAGCAGTCATTGCATATTCTAGCAAATAAGAGGATGAGCTTTTGTTTCTGATAAATCTTTATACCCCAAATCTTAGCTGAGTGTCCTTAACTTTAAGCTCTCTAAGCCTCAGATTCCTTATTTATTACATAGATACAAAAATGGTGCTTTCTTTATAGGTTTTTTTTTAAAAATGTGATAATACCTGTAAAATGCTTTGTGGCACTTGTTACAGTGCATTTCACTAATATCAATTATTATTTTAAAATTAATACATTTAATGTTATCAACTATGACTTTTTAATCTTTATTTTTAATAGAAATTTTAAAATAATGCTATCTTAACTGTTATTTTAAATAATTTAATAAATTATTTTTAATGTTATCAATTATTTCTAAATGAATGCTATATTTTTTTAATAAGGCCTTTTTGGAACAGCTCTGGAAAATCGCTGTAGTATACACTGAAAACTTAAAAGTTTATCGATATGAAGGGAATTTGTAAAATCTCCTCCATATTCAGATCATAATGTCTTCTTTAGGCTTATTTTTTAAGGTAATAATATTACTGAAAGTCACAATTATAAAACTGGAATTGTAAGGACTGGTAGCTTTGATTATTCCCAGTTGCTGCCAAGCAAATCTTTTTGGACAGAAAAGTTTCTACCAAAGACTCTTTCCAATATCAGCATATGAAGAAGAAAAAGAAAGAAACTGGCTGCTACCAATCTCACAGTCTTTCTGATGAACAAAAGGTGAGGACACTCAGTATTTATCAAGGAGAGGTAATAGGTTATTCATAAAGTCCTACTCTGAATATAGTTCATAAAAGTTTTTAAATTTGTTGAAGTTTTCTAAGCTACCAGCTACTTTTGCATAGCTTTTAGTATTCTTCCTGGAGATGTAAAGATTTTATCAAAAATATGCACCAAAAGAAACAAAGAAATCTACATCGAACTTACAGGTTAAAGGAAGAAGGGGTATAAAATGTGTTAGTGGCTTCCACTTAGAAGCCATTATAGAATACTGTCCCTATTCCTACGCCAACCCTTTCAAATCCTCATTTTAAGACAAACTGATCTGCAAATGATGTTCATATTACACTAGGAAATGTTTCATTTATATATAAATGGATACACATAAATGTTGTCACTTCTATAGGAGGAGAGGAAAACCCAGGAAAAGCTCACATTTCCTACCGTTACTGAGGTCAGTCATACTTTGCTATATCTGGGACGATGCTATAACATCCCAGAATTGGTCACTGAAATGAATCAAGGAAAATGGAACCATAGTTCTGCACTCCTCTGAGGTCCCTCTGTGTCCCTTCTTCATTGAAGAATGAAGATTCTGGACACAGTGTTTTCCTGAAAGAAAATCATAATATGAAACTACAGATATAAGTTGAATCAACAGTGAAATATATTTTCAATTTAAAACCTTTTGACAAAATGAAGATTTTGTGATGACCCTATAGAAAATGAGATGGAATGTGTAAAACTTCAAGTGTCCGAGACCTTGTTTTAAAGGAGCTGGTGCCCCTACTCTCGGGCCAAGTTGTTATTTATGAGGAGTGTCCATTTGCACAGCATGGTGAGTTTAGTAAATGAGGACCTGTACACTTCAAAACTACTGAGTACATTTCAAATATTCTCACCACACAAAAAACAAGTATTTGAGATGATGACTATGTTCACTAGCTTGATTTAACTACTCCATATTGTATTCATAAATTGTAACATCACTTTTTAACCCATAAATATGTACAACTATAATTTGTGAATTTACAATGAAGAAATAAAAATTTAAAAATGAGACTTTAGATGGTAATTTTAGCTTAAACAAAGTACCTCTGAAACAGACTTTCCCATAAATACAATGAAGGTACTAAGTAAAAATCCTAACTACTGATAAAAGCAGACTCAGGGGTTCCTTCATTCACAGTACTGCCATTCAGCCAGTCTTCGCTGATGTGTTTTTATAGGGCCATTTCTTTTGTGTAGCATGTGTTTAGATTGGTTGGTTGACCCTTCAAAGATTGCCAAATATTTTTAATACATGCTTTACTTAAATAGATAGCACAATGGGATATTTACTATAGTTGCAAAACTTAAAACTGGTTAAATAAAATGGTCAATACTTCAACCTGTTTTGTTAACTCAAGCAATTTTCCTCTAAGTAGTGAGAGTCTATGGTCATTACAGCCGCAACTTGGGTAAGTTTCTATAGGGACGAGGACTGGGTTCACCACTCAATTTAGACTTCTAAATTAGTTGTGACATTTGATTATTTCAACTTATCATTTTTGCAGATCACTGTGAAGCACTGTGTGTGATCTTCACTTGAAAATATTCAGTCTACGCGATCTATAAACTTCAAATAATTTTATGGGATGTGAAACACTTTCTAGGATTTCTGTTCAATTGTCTTCTGTAGAAAGAAGGCCAGAACTGTTGTATCAACTACATGCTAGCTGGGATCCTTCTAAATAACATAATTATGTTCGATTACAATGAAGTATTTATGTGGGTAAATACTGGATAAATCATTTGTTCTTTGATAACTGCTATGATGGATACAAATAAATACTTTAGATTCTAACATAAATTATTATTCAAATTAGGCTACATTATTGTATTAAAATAATGGGACATTTATACAAAAATTGTGTAATTGTACTTTTATTAAAAACGCACAGAGCATTCAGATAAGTTTCACTAAATGTCAGCTTAGAGAATGCTGAGCTGTTCAGTTTTATCCTAATAGGTTTTGGACTAGATAATGCCTGTGGGGTAATGTAATGAGAAAAAATTTTAAAAACAAACTCTGCAATTCAAAATAAAATTAAGAAAGCATTTTGTAAATATGTTAGTAGAAAAAATAGTGGAACAAAAAAGCATCATCGTTGTGAAAATAATGTAATTAACCTAGAAATACCCATCCTCTACTGACTTGAATAAATTGGACTTTTAGTATTACTATTAAATTTGGTTTTTGGAGGAGGAAAAAGTATTTTTTTCCCTACAAAAGTAAATATCCTCTTTCGCCATCTGGTGGCTAAACACAACATTTTCTGTGTAGATGAAAAACAGCAGATTTAGTAGCCAACTGCGTTTAATGCGTTGATTCATCTTACTGAAAAGATATGCATATTTCTTTAACCTAGGTAAATATAACCGAGCCAATTTTATTTTAATGGCTCACAGCATTTCATTCAAATAACTCTAGCTATAATATTTCATGTAGGATTTTTAAAAATTAACCAAAGCAATTCTTTTAAGAGATCATTTTCTGAATTATTCATTTTGAAAGTTAAAAATACATGTGATAGTAACAATTTGTTTATCTGAATGCTTTTTGGTATAAAAAATGAAGACCTTAATGAAAACAGAAAATTCAAATATAGTCTTAAATGATAAGCATTAACGGCTACCATTCATTTCTGAAGTTTCAGTTTTAGCATTTCCTGTTTTAACCATAGTTATGACTATATGTTGACAAGTCACCATTACCAAAAAGCAGCATGGGTAATTTAACAGTATATGGTTTAAGTTGTCCCTATACTTTTTTAAAATAGAATTTTCAATTGTTAGTACATTTAACATATATAAATTACTTCATTTTATTAAAAAATTAAAATGACAATTATTTCATGTTTAATTTCTTTATTTTCTCCAGAATATCTTAATATTGAAACCCAAGTTGTTACTTTGAGAAAGGGAAAGACAGAGAAACATGAAGAGACAAACATTTCATTTCATTTAACTTATGGTATTGTGAGCAGTCACTTTTGTAGGCAACACTTGTTTTCTTTGTAGAAAAGAAATAAAAAACAAACAGCACCATTAAAGAATGCATGATCCCTGAATTCTAAACAAAACACTGTCTAAAAATTTTTTTAAATGCTTGTTGCACTCAGTCACATTTAGTCAGGTATCAAAGCAAGCGTAACAGTATTAAATTGTTGCAGTCTTACTGAATCAACTGCTCCCCCTTCTGAGGATTTTACACACCTTTTCTGAGTTTTTCCTGTGGGAATAATATATTCTTTGGTAGAGGACTGAAGGAGGATTTTACTTTTCTGTATGCTGATATAAAATGTCTATGTAGGTTCAGGGCCTTCGCCCCCAATCTGTGTTTGTCATGCATGTTATGTTTGGGTTGATTTCACATTTTGCTGTTACACTGTAGGAGTAATACCGCCTTTAAAAAAGGCATTAAATGGCTAATGTCAAACAGATGTAAACATTCAGAATACTGACCAAAAAAAAAAAGAAAAAAGTACAAACGAACACACATTAAAAAAAAAAAAAAAAAAGACTACTGAAAATATGTATCGTATCAGGTTTCCATGAAGTAGGGGACGGAGGGGAATACAGCAGTACAAGAAAATTATGGCAACCAAGTAAAGCACTTTCTTTGAAACATTCAAGAACAGTACAAATACAACAAAGTTTTTCTACAGTCTAAATTATTCTGCAACTATCAAATATAGTACAAAGCGAAATAGTATGTGCTATAAAAAAGCAGCTCCTTTAAATTATAGTAAAAATGCTTTTTGTTCGCTTTACAGTGACAAAGCATGAAGACTGAAGACGACAGGAATTTTATATTTAGTAACATTTTGGCTGCATAGGCCCCTGACAGTCTGATTCCGAGTTCCTGTTCTAGGACTCTTCACAATTGTTCTCTGGGAACGCAGATGGACAGTGACTCTGGGCTCTGCGTGCTCAGAAGGGGTCATTCCCACTAGGCAGCTACCGCTGTGCTGGGCCTCACCACTATACAGACGATGCTACCCTAGGCTTGGCTTCAGCTTCTAAAACCTGGGACTTCATTATACCACTGAGGAACTGGGAAACCAGAGGCCACGGTAACTTCCACTTTTGAAATTGTGCGAGGGTTTGTAAATGAAATGGGGCTACAGCAATGTGTATTCTTACTCTCCACTGCATTATAAAGCACCATACGCACCAGCTTGTTTTTGTGTATTTATTTTGAACCAAGTAAGAATATCCAAGGTCCAGCAGTTAACTAAACCTTCTATATAGCTCATCCCAGAAACACACACCACCCCAAAGTCTTTATAGCAACCAGGCTCAACCTCATAGGTTTGTTTTCAAGTTTTGCTTTCTTCAAACTAGACCTTCGCAGGGAAATATTATATAACTATGGTGCTCAGTTCACCAAAATTTCTGCTATTCTCACTTTGGGGAAGAAAAAAATATTTTCATTTTGAAAATGAATTTGCATCAGAATGCTCTTATTAACATGCCCATTAACTAATCTAAATGTCTTTATACACCTCAGGCATATGCATATCTTATAGGAGGAGGATTAGGGAATAGCAGTTTTCTTCCTTCCCCTGCTCCAAAAGTGCTACTTAGGGAAATACATCCTTTGTGATTAAAAAAAAAAAAAAAAATTGTATGGTACATGTGCAAGTTCTATTCCTGGTAAGAATAAAACTGTGTCCAGTAATCAGGATAACGCAGGTGCTAACATTTGCACACGACACCACAATAACCACGTAGTAAATAACATACTCCATTTGCACATAGCAGACACGTGTAGAAATCAGAAAACTAAGAACCTACTCAGTCAATTCAAATATACTGGCTTTTGTGTGTATACATATCTCAAATGGAAACCTATAAAATATCTGACCCACATTTTACATCTAAATTTCTCTTCTTCCTTTCCCTTGTATTTTAGCTTAAAGATACTAATTTTTCAGTAATATAAACCATGTGAGAACACTAGGAATTTGAACTGGAGCAAAAAAAAAAAAAAAAAAAAAAAAAAAGCAAGGGCACAGAAAAATTATGCTAATCGGACCTGGATGATAGAATCCATGCACTATCAACAACTGATTCTCCAAGCCTGTTATGTGAGAAATTAAAACATACAGAAGGACACTTTTCCTTATTCCCAATAAGCAACTTGCAGGCAGTATTCAATAACGAAGGAACTGATAATGAGCTCAGTACCTCATCAGCCTCAATTGTACCTCACATACCGAGTGCAAAGGTTCTGTAGACTGGAGTTTCTTCCAATACCATGTCAGTTACTGATGTGATGGGCTTCAATTTGCTGGTGTAGACAGTATCTGACACTGGTAAAGCAGTGGTTGAATTTGGAAGGAGTTGGCATGCAAGTGTCTATATTATAGGGGTGCCCCGCTGTGAGACTAAGAGCATGATCTTTGAAATCAGGATGATATCAGAGCCAGGCAGACAAAAGACACCACTGATAAGGATGCCATCCCAACACAATCTGGCGTGCAGTGAAGAGAAAACTAAGGATCCGCTGGAACTTATGCTGCATTCCTCGGGAAAGGCTGGTTAAGTGCATTGCTACCTTTCTCAGTCATTAGTTTTGCCAATTTTACTGTGAAAACCAGAAATGACAGTACTGAAGCACCAAAATCATGGCTATAGCAGCAGGCCTTTCTTTTCTTTCTAAGATAAAGTACCTCTCACTATCAGCAATTTGTTATTCGAAATGATGTCTCTATCACCTAAAGAAATTTGGCAACATCACAATAAATATGGAGAAAAAAAAACATATCACATAGTTTGTTATTATAAAAAATCACAAGTGTTCTTGTTTTCAGGAATGTAATTTCTGCTCATTCCAGTCAACTTTTAAGACGTGTTTTACGGGAATGTCAAAAAGTTTACAGTGACTAGGATGATCCCATGTGAAAATATCGGTCATTCTTACCCTGGATACAGATGATTCCCCACCCCCCCACGTTTGTTTTTTAAATTCTACAGCCACAATCAATCAATGGGTTAATGGCACTCCACATTTTGTGCTCTGTAATCTGAAGTTAAATGGGCGTGGTTGGTTTTTGTTTTCTTTCATCTTTCCTCAATGTGCATGTGCTTCTGAACTTGCTTTTGAAAACAGAGCCTCCTGAACTACGGCTGTCCTCTGGTTTGAGGGTGGCCAAAGTATATGGAATGTAGCTCAAATACTCAACACGCAGATTTTACTGGATGCACACAGAAGATAACTGTTAAGATGCAGTATCCCTTTTTCAAAAGCAGTTCCCCTAAATATGAAGAATGTATTGAATATATCTGAGGGAAAAACAAACATGCCATACCTAGAACAGTTTTTTTAAAATAAGGGTTGAATTATATAGGTTGTAAATAATGAGAAAAATAATTGTTCTGAAAAATGTTGATGCTTTAGCCTTGGGTAGTCCCTCTTATCATCAATGACACTTTTAAAAGGAGATGGCCAACCTCTGCAAGGTCTGAGGCCAGAATGCACGGGTGTCATCAATAAAGGGCTACAATGATTTCCACCCCCCACTTTTAATATCTAGTAATTCATTACCATGAATAGGATATTTACATTATCAACGCATTTATGTGTTCACATACAGCATTTTATTTCCTTGCTTTGAATTTTAGGGCCTTTTTTTTTTTTTTTTTTCAAACCTACTCTTAAAAGCCATACATGAAGCTCTAAAATCCTCTGGGCTTATGGCTATTGGCTGACCAATTGATTTCATATGATTAGGTGTCAAACGGCTAGAACCAGATTGCTGGGCAGGAGTCCCATGCTGAAATTTCAGATGTAGGACACATTTCACTAAAATATGTGTACAAAATCCAAGGAAGATCCAGATATTCTGCCATAGTCTTTGAGAAAGAGTAAAACAGGAGGAAAGGTAATACTCAGGATAATGGATTTCATCAATGGCATACCTCCTTTCATATATCTTTTGTGATAGGAGTAAATACAAAGAATCACACATTTAAATCAGACTCCCCTTTCTAAATAGGATTTAATCACTGTGGTAAAGCTAGGTCCAGAAAAGTCAACTGTGAAATTCCTTGCTGTAATGGCTCATCTATAGAAAAATGCATAACCACTTTAAATCATTCCTCTCATTCTCTTTATATATCTGCATTTCTGGTTATTAAGTAATTAAAAATTTCCTTTTCCTATCTACACCTGGGTTAAAAGAAAAACAAAAATGGGGCATTGACTTGTATACACATGGACAGAAAGAAACTTTCCAAAGCTAGGAATGGCAACTGAACATGTAAAAGACATGCCAGTGAGCCATTCAGTTGGGAATGAATCCTCCCCTTTATGAGAAATGCAAGAAAATGCTGCCATAGAGAAAAGGTACCTGCTTCAAAGCAAAATAAATTAGCATGATAGAAACCACTGTATTATTCGATGTGTTGCTGCTGATGCTATTTGGCTTTTCCGTGTGGAAAAGGGATACTGCATCTTTCACTCAGCTCTTATCGTACAACCAGGCATGCTACACAGAGTTTTGAAGGACCTATGCAGTCGTCATGGCAGAAGGCCCCACAGCCTTTGCACACAATCATGGCTTTCAGCCGGCAAGAGCATTTCAGTTCCAATTCATCTGCATTGCTGCTGTCGGCAAAGTTCTGAACGGGCATCTGAGCGTTCTGACCAGGCAAGCCCGTGGCAGGATTGGAGCCACTTCCCAAAATCCCAATGGACTTTTCAATTGCAGATGCTGCCCTTTTGAAACTCGTGCTACCAAAGTGTATTGTTGGATAATTTCCACAGAGCTGCTGTTGTTGCTGCACCTGCATTTTCTGAGCAGCTAATTGGGTAAAAGGCTTTTGTGGCTCAGAAAGCAAATAGGAAGAGAAATCTGCATTTTTTAGTGCGAATGCTTTTAACTGTTCTTTCATTTCATTCTGGTCATAGGAAACTTGTTTCATGCCCAGTTCACAGCTGCTGCTTAAACCTTCCTCAAAAGAAAGAGGTTCCGATTTTATATTGCTACATATGCCCGTGGACTGTGGCCAACTAAGTCTCTTAGTGGTTTCCATGGTAACTGGAGGTTGTTTTGGATCGGATGGGACTTCTGCATTAGGGAGAGGTGGAGGTAGTGGAGGTGGTGGTGGGGGAGGTGGGGGCAAAGCCAAGGGTGGAGGGGGAGGGGGAGGGGGAGGCGGTGGCGGCGGCGGATGTACTAGTGCTTTGTTTGGCATTGCATGCGCAGTGCCTCCCACCTCATCACCTTCTTTCATGGGCATATTAGGGGACAACATGTTGGCTAACCTTAGCTGGTGAGGTGCTGAGGAAAGACTAACCTCTCCCAATCCCTTCTGTTCAAGATGCCTGTTGAAGGCAAATGCATTACACCCCACTGGGGTCTTGGAAGAGGCCTGTAATAGAGCTGCAGTAGGAATGGGGCCCCTGGCAGCCATAGGCATTTGGTAAAACTGCTGTCTGTGTGAGGTACCAGCGTCAGGGTGGAAGCCGCCATTCTTGTCAACATGAAATAGGTTCTGCTGGAAGCTACACGAGGGGAGCAGTCTCTTTTGCTGTTTGACCTCAGGGCTGTGAACAATTCTGTTCTGCATGGAGTGCTTGTTTAGCCATTCTTGCTTAAATGTCTGGCTGTGTCCCAGCTGACTCATGCCAGAATTGATGACACAAGGCACCCCTTTAACATCTGGCTCCACCAACAATTTTCCTGGTTCACATTTAACTTGAGTGTGTTCTCCTACAGTCCTAGCTACTCTCTTTTTGGGGTGGTTTTCTCGCTTTCTCATTTGGAGTGGTGCAAGAGTCCCTGCCAAGTAGCCCTTACCATCTGGATTTGGAGAGCTGGGCGGAATTTCAACGTTTCTCTCTGGTGCTGTTTTACCCACTGAGGTAGTTTGAAGAGGCAACGGAAGCCTGTTGATTTCAAGCTTGGCTCCCAATCTGGGTTGCGGCAACACTTTTTCCAAAGGCAGGTTGCCCTGTAGTAACTGCGTCACCAGCGGGTTGTTAGCCTCCACAGAGGACAGACGACAGCTTGAGCTCCCTGCACCAGGGACTCTTTTCAGGGTGTCCGTAGCCAAGGAAATAGCCTCTTCCATGGGACTCGAGGTGGAAGCTTTCACGTTCTGTGTTTTTTGTACACTAGAGGCTACCTCTGCAGCTGGAGGCGGCAGCTCAGGGCCGGGGAAGTCTTCAGTGTCCATTCTAAAGCCCTTGTCTGCTTCATGAAGTTCAGATTTCACAGGAAGAGCAACATTTGTTATGAGATTCCTGGGATGAAGTTCAGACACGTTCAAGTAGCTGGCATGTTCAGTTTTGATAGCCTTTGGACAATTTTGCTCTAGATACTCCTTTTGTTTACTTGAACCCGAGTGAGTAACCAGAGGCTGTCCTGTGCTCCTCATCCCATCATCACTCCAGCAAATCCGGTTACTTGGGTTATACTGATTGCTACAGGTTGTGTCTGCCTCACTTTTGAACGTAGCTGGGCCACGTGCCTGCTCAGCAAAGTTATGACTAGGAGCAGTCGGCTCATTTAATTTATCTGGAACAAGGGGTAATTCTCGGAGACTTGTGCAGGTGGCCTGCAATATTTTACACTCTTGTTTTGCTGCCGAAGCAGCAATGAAAGTGGAACTGTGATCTACACCTTCACCGGCAACTGGCTCAGGCCTGCTAATCACAGACACCTGAGGACACGCCATGGGCTGTACGGATGCCTCTGTCCTCACTGGCCTGCCCTGCAGGTCCAAGTTGGCTTCTGAACTTTCAACGGAGACAGTCAGAGACAAACTGGAGGTCAGCGTGGTGCTGTGGTCAACAATGACTTTACACGGAATTGATCGGTTTATGGCTGCTGGTGCAAAGCCCCCCTGTGGTTGCTGAGGTTTTCCAGAATTATCTGCCCTGTTTCGAGGCCCTGAATTTTTGTCCAGGCTTTCAGCACTTAACTTGGGAGGACTATCATAAGAGTTTATTGTCAGCATGTTTCCACTAAACATTGCAACGGTTGGGTGTGCAACCAGAGAGTCTGTGACCGCTACGGAATCACTGCAGCTGAGGGCTGCTCTCACAGTGGTACCCATGGATACAGTAGCCTGTTCTTCACTCCCAGGTATGGCTATCTTCTCAGAAGGAAATCTGTTGTTAATTCCCGTCGGGGGAATCAAGACAGAGCTAGTGGAGAGGTGGTTTGGCAAATTGTTTCCGATGGAAGGAGTTGGCACAGAGGTGTACTGAGTGGAGACTAAGTTACTAGCACTGCTGCTTGATATTAGTAACTGCTTATCATCCATGGAGCTTGATATGCTGGAGCCCTCTGTAGTGGCTGAAATGGGAGTGCTTTCAATACATTTTGGTATAATGGCTATGCATGGAGTGTCAGTTCCCTGGATGGTTTTTAACATGCTTATATTACAAGCAGAAATTGTAGTGTTTGCACTGTCAACAGACATTAGGACAGAGGATTTATCAACAGAACTCACAAAGGGATGTTCTTTAATTGCTCCCGATATAGCAGTGCTGCAAACAGATACAGGGACAGAATTTTTATTAAAAAGCATGGGCACACTGCTATTTTCAGAAGAGGTAGATGAAACAATTTTCTCAGATAAATGTGACACAGGTATGTTTTCATCAGAACTATGCACAGATAAGTCAGTGGCAGTTTCTGGAAGTTTACTTGGGTTCAGAGACTGCTGTAGTACAGTGGTGGTCTCCCGGAGGTGGGCAGACTTGTTGCTAGGAGATCTACAGTTTGGATTGACAATAATGACACCAGTCGAACCTTCCATTTTTGTTTCAGGGGTAGAAGAGACTTCTAAGTTTGGAGGCCCTTCCTTTGAGCTGAGCGGAGGCAACCGGGTCTCTTTAGAGGTCTGGAAGAGATGGGCTCGAGCTTGATGCTTTGCAAAGAGCTTAGCCTTTGTCTGTTCTTTGATGTGTGCCAGGGTTCTCGCCTTTCCACCCTCTCCTGGGCTTCCCATGGCTCCAGAGACAATGCTCGCTGCAGCAGCTACGGCAGCAGCTGCAGCAGCCTCTCGCTGGGCCCGAGCTTGTTGGGCCCGGGCCTTGATATCTGCGAGGGTCCTGGCTCCTGTGTTCCTCCCGCCACTGATGGATGTGCTAGTGGATGCTCGAGACTCGGGTTTGGAGACTGGTTGGCTCTTGATTATAAAAGGTGGCCCAATTTTGGAAAGCTGAATCTAAAAGGAGAGAAAAAATATATATAATGTGCTTCATATATGATCACAGAGGAGGCACGCAGAATGTGATAATGCAAGGGAAAAGATAATCTCAAAATGTGCCATGAACTACACCTAAATCCCTGGATGTGCCTTTAGGGTATAAAGCAACAAGAAATGTAGCATGAATATAAAAAATTAAGTTTTTAATCTGTTTTTAATCTACAAAAACATCCATTGTAACTTCATTTGGAATGGAAATGAAGCATCTTCTTAATGCGTCATATAAATGGATACAAAATTCATGCTTCTAGAATTACAGTAGGCTAAAAAGACTTCAAGATATTTAATTTTGAAATTATCTTTTTTAGTGGCATAAAAAACTGGAACTTCAACTGTATTTGTCTGTCTTAATTTGACATAAAGAAAAAAGCCCTGACTGAGATACAATTAGAACTCTCATTTTGACTTCACACAAAGGAACTGTGATCCTAGGTTAATCACTGTGTACCTCAGTTTCTCCAATAACCTCTCTGAGCCAAGAACTCTATGATTTTTCCTTTTTTTAAAATTATATTTTATGGTCTAGGGTACATGTGCACAACGTGCAGGTTTGTTACATATGTATACGTGTGCCATGTTGTATGATTTTTATGCACTCCCATGCTACCTTGCATGCTGCTTTACACATGTATGATAAGAACACAAGAGAAGTTTGTAAACTCAGTTGTAAAATGAGACTAGTTATTTCTGGTCTATTTCCTTCAAAGAGCTGTTTTAAAGATGGAATGAGACTACATTTGTCAGAGTGTTCTGTTTTCCAAAGGAATTGTATTATTATTACATTTGCATAAAAGCAAGGGAAACTCTGATTTTCTGCCTCTAAAGAATTTATGCATTGGGCAGTTTCTTTTGATATTGGTAATCCACAATCTGCTGAATTTTGTAAATGTCCCAACCCATACTGTTTACCAATTCTTGGTAATTAAGAGACTCACAGATTCATCACCAAATTCATGAGGCACAAGGTCTAACAACCAGCATTCCATAGCAAGGCTGTGTTGCTCTAGTCACTAAAAGCATTCTTAGACATGGCTGTGTAGAGCTGGAAAGACTCTAGTTGACATCCCTCATTTCACAGTTCAGGAAACTGAGGCTGTGCAGGTAAAGCAGTTTGTCCTGTGGTCATATAACCAGTGAGTGACTAGAGCCTTTGGGCTTCCCATTCGATGCTATTTCCATGTATTCTGTTTCTCTTTTTTCCAGATTATACATATCAATTTAGAATTATGCTTTGGAACTTTGATAGATGAAACTGTCTTCCTGAGCCATGTTGTTTCTCATTTTCTTTTCTTTTCTTTTTTTTTAAATTATACTTTAAGTTCTGGGGTACATGCGCACAACGTGCAGGTTTGTTACATATGTATACTTGTGCCATGTTGGTGTGCTGCACTCATTTGTTTCTCATTTTCAAACTGCTTGTGAAGTCTCTCTTCTATTCCAAAAGCCAAGAAAAGAAAGGATAATTTTGGGGAGAAGATTCAATTTGCTCTCTTAATATTTTTTCTAGTGTAAAAAATTAAATATATTTTAAATAATTAAACTTAAATATCCTTAAGCAAGAGCTCTTAAGACCAAACATCATATATTCTTGTAGTATTTACCTTTTCTTCACAGTGCTTAATTTATTAACTATGTGCTCAATAATATGGCAAGATGGTAACATCTTGCAAGATTCTGACATACCACAACCAGGATACTGACATTGATACAATTAAGATACAGAACATTTCCATGACTACAAATTTCCCTCATGTTGTTACCTATCTATCTATCTATCTATCTATCTATCTATCTATCTATCTATCTTTACATGAAATCCATATGACTTTGAAAATTAGCTTTTGACAGACTGGCATGTTTAAAAATATCTCCTATGAAAAGTTTCTATTACTATTTCTATTGCTTCAGAAATTAAAATGCATAGTGAGTTTTTAATTGAACTTAATGCTCATCTTTTACACCTCTAGAATCTTGCTTACTAGAGATTGCTTTATTAAAAAGAGTAAGTACAACCATACTTTTAAAGTCAGCCTGTGGAGAACACGAGTCATATATAAAATGAAAATTTCATAGATTTTATATCTACAGATAGAGCATACTTTTTTTTTATTCAAGAAGCTTGAGATGTTTATAATTCTAGACCAATGCTATGATGGAATAATCCACTTTACAGCACAACGGTATAAATGCACTTAGATAAAAGCATCAAGTCAGTATAAATGACAGAGGGTAGAAACTCAAAAAAAAAATTACACTGGGTTTATGCCGTCAGTTCTCTCAAGAACGTTCATAGGATGCTACGTTATCTTTCACATGTTCCCAGGTTCACAGAGGTCTCTGCCCTACACCTGGAAATCCCCATAAACCCAGGGGTCTCAGTGGCCTGGAGACATTTCCAGCCCTATTCTCTTTCTTTAATTCGTTTTTCTTTAATGCTGGGTCTAAACATATGCATGTATCTAAACTGCTTTTATGAATTCAACACATAGTCATAAAGATGATCATTTACTATTAGAGGATGATATTATAAATTGCTGCATAAAACCTAGAAGGAAGAAAATCTAATTATTCTTGAAAAATTAGGCTTCTAAATAGGAAAAGCCTATCTACGGAATTGTCTTTTGTTTAATATCATACCTTGAGAGGGGGAACCCTTGGTTCCTCTCTTGGAGGCTGTTCTTTCTCAGGTGGGCTGCTAGATGATATGTTCCGGGTTGACTGATCATCTTCTATTCTAGCTCTCTTTTCCTTACAGATTCCAAAGCTGTGCTGCTCTGCAGTTTTCCTCTTCGATATCTCTGAATCTCTACTTTCATTTCTCATCCCATCAGGTGACTTGGAGGGCTCTAAGGACTTGGAAGTATGTGAGGTTTCTAACCGACTCTGTGTACTCCCTTGCTTATGTGTCTTATTTCTAGAGCCTTCTGAAAATGAAGTCTTATCCACTGATGAGATATACTGCTTGTCCTGTAATTTAGCAGATGGAAGCTCATTTCCCTTATTCTCTGTCTCTTCAGAAAAGACAGATAATTCCAATGGTGAAGATAACACTTTATTTTCTGTTCTTTGCAGGATGCTATGATTTTTAACTTTTATCATTTCAGCAGAAGCAAGTTCTGGAATCGAAGCAGGGTAGGGCTTCTCAGTGTCAACATGAGATTTACAAGTTTGCTGACTCAGGGTTTTATTGTGCAAATCTTCAGACGGAAATGCTTCAGGAGTAATGGAAGAACAACTCATTATGATGGGTTCGGGAGTATTAGATAGATTCTTCTGCTGTGAGGTAAGGTTCTCTCCCAGAGGTTTGGCAGCGGCGGAAGACTCATCTTTCTGTGGGGAGAGCGGCTCTTCAGATACAGAAGGTGACTTTCTTTGCTGATGTGCCATTCTCTCATTTATGGAAGAGTTAGAAATTGGAGACGTTTCTGAAGGAAGTGGCAAACTGGATACAAAAGTGGTCTCAGAGGTGAGAAGCATGGAAGACACTGAAGAAGTCTCTGATGTTAAAGGTAAGTCGGACATCGGTGAGGTTTCTGATGTTAAAGGTAAGTTGGATATTGGTGATGCTTCAGATGTTAATGGTAAATTGGACATAAGAGATGCTTCTGATAGTTCAGGTGAAGTGGATATTGGAGAGATTTCTGACATCAAAGATGCATGAAGGTTTTCATCAGTGGAATTTCTCTGGTTGTATTTGTCTGTATTTTCAGTGCTAGACACCTCAGAACAAAATGTTGTCTCAAGGGAGGCTGGAGTACATGATTCTTCTGATGTGGACTGTGTTTCCCCTCCTGGGGAAGGCAGGCTGGTACAGGCTCCCTCTGGGCTCTCCGAAGAAAAGGACGTTTCAGAGATGCAGGCATTTTCTGAAAGCTGTTCTTCAGGGTCACTCTGTAGCTCCATATCTACAGAAATTCCTTCATTTGGAAACCGGCCTTCTAGAGAAGATGACCCTGTTTTTATTTTGGGGGTACTGGTCTCTATCGCAGTTTCTGACTCCTTACGTTCTGTGTCACTGACATGAGTCACAGATGAAGTGGAAGGAACAAGAGAATCACAGACTTCTAACTGATCGATAACAACTGTCATTTCTTCCTGGGGCGATTCTGACTTCTCTTCTATCTTAATTTCAATATGAGGCAAAGTTTCTAAAACATCATTCATCATAACACAGGACTCCAAGTTATCTTCAGGAGGTGCTGTTTGGGGTTCTTCATGAGAATTGGCTGGACTTTCAGACTCCTCAGAAAATTCAGGTATTGTCTTATGATTTTCATCCTGGCATTCACAGATACTAGTCTCTACCTCTTCTGTAATTTCCTCCTGAATTACAGATTCTTCAGGGATCAAGATATCCTCTGACTCCGATTCTGCCATTATATCTTTAGCTGGAATTTCTACCATAGGGCAAAGAGTAGCACAGAAACCGGGCTCTGGAGAAGTTGGGCTTTTCATGCTTTTTGACTGTTGTTCTGCTAAGGGTGTCTGTGCAGAAACTGGAAGGCCAGAAGTCCCACATGAAGAACTACTCTGAGCTCCGGCATTGTTTGGTCCAGTAGTGAGCTTCACAGATTCCTCTCTTGACATGCCCAGCCTGTACAGAAATTAGAGATAAGAAATTATTGCTCAACCACAAAACATGAAAGGTACAACTGGGATCTCTCAAGAATGCAGTATTCAATAGAAGTAAGTGCATCAAATTACATTTATAATCACTAACACGCTTAATTTATGTAAACCAGTTTATAATGATGATGTTTCTTTGCTGCTTTTGTAATCTCAACTAATACTCTGCTTCTGGTTAAGAGCAGTCTAGATTTTTATTTTGTAAAGCAAGGAGATATGAACCTTACCAAGTGTTAGTAAAGGAATAAGAAAATTACATACAACAAAGTATTAGAAAATATTTATAATCACTAACATGCTTAATTTATGTAAACCAGTTTATAATGATGATACTTCTTTGCTGCTTTTATAATCTCAACCAAAACTCTACTTCTGGTTAAGAACAGTCCAGATTTTTATTTTGTAAAATAAGGAGATATGAGCCTTACCAAGTGTTAATAAAGGAATAAGAAAATTACATACAACAAAGTATTAGAAAATATGAGCAGAAAAGCAAAATAACATATAGGATATATATTTTTTAAATACAGAAGTAGAAAGATGCTCTTATAATAGGAAATTATATAGTTTTTGGAGGATACAAGAGAACCAAGAAATTAAGATCAATGGAAGATGAATGAAATTCATCAAATTCTGAAATTGAAATGAGTTCCAAAGATTGGTTTTCTTAAACTAATCTAAGAAGTATTACTCAATCACCTTATTTTGGCATCTAACTGTCTAACCTAAGACAACATGGAAATTTCATTAAAGAATAACAGAACATATTTGGGGTTATCAAAGTTATTCTATCAGCTTACATTTGTGTGAAGCAAGACTTTTAAATTATTTCATGCAGATCTCTTACTGTGAAGATATTCCATACATGACAGGTACCGAAAAATCAAGAAATAATTGAGCATGATGTTCAGGTCTTAACGCAAATCTAAACAGAGTTACAGTCAAGGGTACTGTAAATCACTGTTTTCTGTCATATAATTTACATTGTCAGCATCAGATGGTAGAGAAACATGCAGCTCTAAATGAAGTTAAATTGGGGTACAGGCAATGAGAAAGATAAGCAGGAGAGAGAACATTTCCAGAGGAAAAAGCACATTTAAGTGAAGAAATATAATCATAGTAACATTGATGCAAACAACACCTCAGTGAAAACCACTTTAACCTTTGCTTTTTAAAAATCCTCAATGTGAAAGGGAAATAACGTTGAATACAGTTTTTGGGTATTTGGCCATTGCCTTCTTTATTTAAATTCAGAAATCTCTGGAAAGGTAGAAGATACTGCCTTCATAAATATTCTCTTTCCTTTCAATGTTCTCTAAGATGAATTCAAACTAAGCTACAATTTGTAACTATACTATATACTGAGAAGATCAGAAAAACAACATTACGGATAAATTTAAAGCAGAATAATCTTCAAGAAATAAGGTTCCCTGGGACTAGGTCAAGCAGCGGTACCATTGATACTAGAACAAGTATGTAACATACAGAAATCTATCCACTGGCAGCCAAATTTCTGCTAGGTGGTTAATAATATTATTAAACATGCAGATAGGTAAGTGTATATGTACAACAGCACTGTATAAAATATGCCCATGTCAACATTTTCTTATTTTCACAGAAAAACAGATTTAAGATTGCGTAAGGCATAAGAGGAGGAAGATATTCACAGTTCCTCATACTACACAAAGGAAAACCCTGGCCTCCAGAAATCTAGACACAAATTCACAAGCCAAGCCCTGTAATACTTAGCATTTATACAAATGATGTAAAACAAATATAGAATAATACTATATTATAAAGAAATTAGGCAAGTGAGAATCATAATAAATATCTAAAAAAATTGAAAACTAAGACAGATCTTAACTGGACATTAGTATAAATGTTTGACACATTTTTGAAAAAAAAACTTAGAGCCATGAAAAGGCACATGGTGTCAGTCAACTAAAAACTGTCTGGTGGTAGGGGAATAAAGGTAACCTGGGAGCAACAAAATGAGAAGGGCAGTCAATGAAATATTCAAAATATATCTGCATGCAATATGTAATGAAAGACAGAAAAGATCAAGAGACAAGTCCAGTGATGTGAGAGGACAAAAGCTACTGATAAACTACAGCAAAAAAAAAAAAAAAAAAAAAAAAGGGCTAAGTAGAAGTATGTTCTGTATTCAGAGCTTAATGATGGCAATGAGGGGGCCATGTTTATTAACAATATCATAGCTGTCACCTTCTAGGGAAGGGGCCCTAGATCTGATATCTAAGGGAATCTGGAAAGCCACTAAATTTCATGCAAAAAATATGCCTGTGCGTGAATTTTTCTGAGAAGGATTTGCAGGATTAAGACCCCAAGCAAGTTACTTAACCTCACTGTTATAAACCTGGGAAAATTACTTAGCTTCACTTTCCCTCAGCTTCCTAATTAAAAAAAATTGTGAATAATGGTATCCATCTTATGAAATTGCTGGGAGGATTAAGTGAAATATTTGCAAAGCTCTTAGAAGCGTATCAGAGCCAGTGTATACTCAATGATTATTTGTTACATGAAAGAAAGTTTTCTGTAATGTAAGTCCCTTGAACTGAGGTTCTCTGGGAGTAGAGCTTAGGTAGTCCTACAAACAATTGCATCCCTGGCATCCAGGAGAGTGTCTGGCACAGAGGAGATGTTAGATAAATACATTAATTTAATAAAAGAATGGATCTATCACTAAAAATTAAGAACCAATGCTTTGGAGGTACTATCTCAGTTAGGCTTCTGCCATTACTAAAAAGAGTGCTCCCAGCATTTTCTTTCACAGGCAAAAGCAGAGGGAAGAAGGCTCCTAAGTGATCTTTAATCTTATCCTCCAGGGTTCTTAATCCTGCTGGGCATCAGCACGACTCCTGGCAAGCTTCTAAAACACAGACTCCTGGGCACAACTCCTAGATTTTGATTTAGCCAGGCTTGAGTGATATTGCTGGTGACTTCATGTGAAGACATATAACTAGCTTGTCACATTTTTAATGTTTGAGAAAAGACATTATCTTTATTTGGTTTTGCTTCATATATATGTGTGTATATATACATATATATATAAAAATACATATATAGTATATAAATACATACACACACACACACACACACACACACACACACACACACACAGAGAAATCCTGGCACAGCAATTAAAAACAGGCTTTTCTACTCAAGAGGACTACGGAGTGCCATTTAGGACAATTCATGAAGGCCAGCATACTCTGAGCACCCTACTCCAAGTGTTCTGTTAAGTATCTAATTTCTTTACATGAAGAGCTCTCACGTGAGACTCCTTCTGGCACGTCTGTCTTTCCCGCATTTACAGGTGTAATTTTGTGAAATGAGATCACATGACATAGGTCTTGTTACCTGCAACCACCTGTGTCCTTTACACAAAATAACAACTTTCAAGCATTGATTTGTATGTGGGAGGTGGAGCGTAAGTTCCTCTAAGGGGGATCTGAAGTGACCATCAATAGTAAGTTCTTAAACCCCTCCTTTTTTAGGGATCTGATTTTCTGAGACACTAATATTGCCAACGCAGAATGTGTCTCTGCTAAACATGAGGCAAAGGTGAAACTGCTCTCAGGGTTAGTTCATCTGCTACCACACTATGATGTAAAGGCTCGTGTTACTTAAAAAAGAAGCTCACACACACACATAAATTAAAGACAGATTACATTTGAAGAGGAAGATAAAGCAAAAGATATCATCTCAGGCTCTCCCCAAAACAAGGACTAAACAAAGATTAAAATGCATTAGGCACAGTCAATATTTTTAGAAAAATGTGAGAATTAAACACGTGCCTAAAATTACTTATCTATAAAGCATTAATCCATGAACATACTTGAAAACAGGAGAATTTTACTCAAATCTGTTAAGAAATTCAAAAGTGACTTCTTTAAGATTTCATGTGCTACTTTCAGACCAAAATAAAATTTCATGAACAAGTTATAAACCCTGGAAAATGCATTTTTAAAAAATTTAAGTGCTGATATACCACTATAATTTCATCTGCAATTTCTTACACTGAGGGACTATTGCCTTTTATCACAGGTTTATTAAGTTTTACAGCATATGAGTGTGCTATGTGAAGCAGAGAATTACATTTTCATTCCCTTCTCAGAGAAATGAGAAAAAATACTCTAGTACTTACTTTTCTCCATAAAACCTCTCAAAGAATTTTTCTTTCCAAGGTTCTGTTTTCTTTTCCTTCTCAATTTCTTGCCTTATCCGCAATTGCATTTCTGGGGTAAACTCTCCTAAAAAGAAAATGCTAATGTATTGAGTAAATGTGGTCACATCTTTTGCCAATTAATAAAGAAAACATGTAATTCATCTGAGTAAACTTTTATGGATCTTGAAAAGCACTAGGACAAATAATGATAACATTTCTACAGCTTCCCTTTTTATGAACATCACTCAAGATGTTCATAAAAATGCTAAAGCTAAATGCTTTAGAAGAACGCTAAAGAATTTAGCAAATGTATTACATGCTAGGGGCTACAAATAAAAGAGAGTATATTCACCGTCCTTAAGGAAATCAGTCTGTTGGAAATAGACTATACTATAATATATAAAGCCCTGTATAGGCCATAATAATAAATGTAGTGAAATATAGAAAGTAAAGCGCTTAATTCTGCCTACGTTGATTAAGGAGGACCACATATAGGAGCTGATTCTTGAGTTAAATTTTGAAGGTTACTCAGGCTTTTATAAAGTAATTAAATCACAAGGCCAGAGGTACGAATCCATATATTTATGATCTTTTGAGTGGCCAATTGTGAGTAAAACATAGGAAGAAATAAAATGGGAAATAAAAGCTGAGGTCAGTTACCCAATAGATGTTCTAAAGAATGTTCTTCACTTTTCTATGAGAGACAGGGGGAGGTTCTGGTGGCATTCAGTGTAGAAAGAACATGGCCAAATAAGCTGTCTAGAAAAACAGGTCTGACAACAGAGTGAAGAACTGGAGGACTGCAGCTACAGGGCTACTGAATAGCACACAGGAGAGGTGGAGATACCGTTGGGCCAGTAGCAGCAGGAATGTTGAAGAGGAATCAAGTACAATCAAGTAACAGTTGATGACCAGATAGGCATGGAGAAAAGGAAGAGGATCAAAGACATGGTAAGGTTTTAAACTGAGGAACTATGAGGACAGTTGTGACATTATAGAAATAGAGGAAACAGAAGAAGGAGTAGAGAGGGAAGAGAAGCTAGTGAATTTAATATTGGGCATTTTGGTTTACACTGCCTGTTATCAGCTAATGAGATCTGCTAAGCAATTGAAAATAAAACGCTGGGGAAGGAGTGGGGGGGATTAGGTAAGGGGGTGAAGGCCAGATTTGAAAATTCTTGGCATGCTCGCAATAGCTAAAACCAAGGTGGTGAATGAGGCAGCTTAGGGAATACTATGATTAGAAAAGAAAATGTTGGAGGCATCAGATGGAAGAATAGGAGATCATGATGAAAGCTGAGCAAGGGCTGGCAGAAATGCAGGCCCAGAAAAATTATTTAAATTCTGTTTTTAAAATCTAAAGTAGATGGTTTCAAGTCAGATGGGGTGAAAAAACAAATGAAATATTGGTGAAGGAACTTGAAATGTAAGGACTGAGAACAGTAAATTGGAATTTGCCATTAGTAATTTTTTTTTTTTTTTTTTTTTTTTTTTTTTTTTGAGACAGGGTGTCACTCTGTTGCTTTGGCTGGAGTGCAGTAGCATGATCAGTAGGTCAATCACTGCAGCCTCCACCTCCTGAGCCTAAGTGATCCATCCACTGTAGACTCTTGAGTTGCTGAGACTATAGGTATGCACCACCACACCCGGCTGATTTTTGTATTTTTTGTAGAGATGGAGTTTCACCATGTTGCACAGGCTGGTCTTCACTCCTGAGCTCAAGCGATCTGCCTGCTAAGGCCTCCCAGAGTCCTGGGATAATAGGCATAAGCCACCACGCCTGGCTAGTATTCTTCTCTAGGAGGAATATTTCAGTTATATAGAGTGGGCCCACCCTGACTGTAACAGTGTGAGTGTGTAAAGAGGAAAAATACAGTAGCATTGGGCACTTTTTAGTCTTTCAAGAAACTTGGTGACTAAAGCAAGAATAAGGTGAAGCAGTAACATTTGGGGAAGAGATCATTCAATGAATTTTCTTTAGGTGCCAGGATGCTTAAGAGAATGCATAACGGATCAAACAGTGTCATTAAAATTACCATCCCCAAGAAAATGTTGCTGCATCAAAAATTTTACGATGTTCAAGATAAAATTATGCTTTCTTCAAAAATATCTGACATCAATAATGTCAAGTATAACAAAAGAATTCGTGAACTCATTTGGAAAGGGATATGAGTTTTTACTAAATTAAAGTGTACTGTGGGGGGAAAAAGACTGGGAAATCAGAGAAAGGTACAAAGCTCAGTACAGTATGTGTACTCCAATAGGTCACATAATAATAGAAAATACAAATTTACCTTCTGCCAGTCGCTGTTTCCACCCTTGTGCTGCATATGCAAAGAATTCATTATTTAGAGCTGAAGTACTGAGGCGTAAAATTCCATCACTTCCCATCTAGGAAAATAAGCCGACAAAAACAAGGTTCCATCAGGAATAACTCAAAGCAAAAGTATGCAGGAAAGAATCAAAAATTGAGTGGTGCTGGCTGGTGTATGTGTGAGGGGGAGGAGGGAAGAAGGAGACAGAGAAAGGAGAAGGGAGAGCAAGCAGGAGCTCCAGTGAGAGCATGTGCAGGGTAGGAGGAAGAGAGGAAAGTGACCCAACAAAAGATTGGTCTCCTGGGATGAATACTAGGAGATTAGATGTATGCATTCTGCTTGCTGATGTGTAGGAGACAGAAATAATTAGTGTTATCCTTGGCTGGCTTCTTATGTAGTTGGTGAGTGAATTTAAAACACATTACAAGTTAAACAATGTCAAGCATTAGGTGAGTGAGAATTAAGAAGTTCAAAATGTAAAAGCTCGGAGAATATATGTATGTGGATATGAGAGTGTAGGAAGAACCTGATGTAGCCTCATGAGAGTCTAAGAGGATCTGGACAGAATGGTTAGAGATAAAAGCATAAGGTATACTGTCAACGAGCATGAGCATTACTGTAGAAGCAGAATATAATGAACTATCAGTAACGGGGGCATTTATGAAGGTGTGAAGATGCTTTCATCTGGTACTAAAAGGCCTGGTAAACTGTAAACCCAACTAGATCTTCAAAGATTTCCTCTTACTTCCACATATAGAATTCATATATCCTAAGCACTGATTATAATTACCTGAAAACACACTTAGAGATTTCTTATCCTCATTTATTTATTTGTTTTTGATCTTCTCTACACTCCGTTTTCACCTATTGAAATACTATCACTCTTTTAAAATTTAACTCAAATAATGCCTTCATGAATGTTTCAGCGGAATCATCATTCAGGAGCAAAGGAGAATACTGAACATAAAAAGCAAATGTATTATCTTAAGGTGGATAATAGCTAATCAAAGCCAGCAAAGAGAGACACTGAGAACAAATGCAAGATACGATGATTGTTGATGCTGTGACATCTACAGGGAGGCCACAGATTCGAGACCGTGAGGGTCTTCATTTAAGATGGCACTGGTAATCACACTAAAATATTCAATACACTTGAAAATTTTCGGGCAACATGTCATTTATTCATTGATTTATTGTTTACTCATGCTCAATTATTTCATCTTATTCAACAGAAACTTGTTAAGCCACTCATATGAACCTCTGTGCAGGGCACATGTATGGGTACTGGAAATTCACTGGCAATAAAGAAAAATACCCTGTATTTATACTCTGAATATATTCTACATAGAACAGATACTTTTGGTCCTTGTACGCCCTCTTCACCCACCTGGGTTCAGCATGACTGATGTACAGTTACATCACCATGTCAATGTCCCACCTCACAGGTTTACCAAAGCTCTGATATATGAATGAATAAATGTCTCAGCTTCCCCATCCTTTGACTGGACAATTCTCGGACACTATCCTCTGCAGTGTGGTTTATGCGCTCAACCAAATGGATGCTGTTTGGTGCTATGTTCCCAATGGCTAGAATACATGGATCTGGGAACTAAGGGACAGAATGAAAAAACCTTTGCACTATCATTCCCAAACAACCACTTGCAGACTGCATGTATTCTGTCCCCATAGCTCTAGCCTCTGTGAGATTAGAAGTCCAGGTTCCCAGCAGGGAATCACTTCTATTAGAGCAGGGTTTCTCAAGACTGGCACTGTTGTCATTTGGGACTAGATAATTCTTTTTGTGGGGGCATGTCCTGTGTAATGTCGGATGTTTGGCACCATCCCTGGACTCTACCCAGTAGATCACAGGAGCAATTCCCTATCAGATGTAACAACAAAAAACATCTCCAAACACTGCCAAATGTCCCGCGAGGCAAAATCATCCCTAGTTGAGAACCACTGCACTAGTGGATAATGTAAGGGCCCCATTGTAGCCAAAGCTTTGTCTGGTTACTTTGTATTACTCATGCTGTTGGACAAGTAGGCAAAGAAAGGAGACAGGATAATCAATCAGCTCTAACCATCATGAGGAAATAAGACTGCTGCAACAGGGAAAGGATGAACAGAAGGGTGTTGGGAATGCCGGGGATTCCCTGGGACATCTCTTGGTGTTATTCGTGCCTGCTGATTGACATCCTGACAGGGCAAGACAACCAACGGCTCAAACTCCTCAGGGATGGTGGTCGGGGTCACTTCTAGAAGTGCTGACTAAGAGTGAGAAAATCAGAAATGAGTATCAAAGGAGGGAGATGATGAGCTCCAACCACATCCTTAAAACCAGCTTGAGACTGGCACAGCCTATAGCTGATCCACTAACCCTCTGGTCATAAGTCTTGTTATTTTCATTTTCTTCTTCTTTCCAATATATTAGTGTTATGACCAGTTACTTTTTAAAGAGGTAAAGACAGAGGGAGCTTAATGTGAGGCACAAGATCTGAGTGGTACAAGAGGAAGTCTACACCACACATTTCTGATACTCCACTTTATATCATCTTGGCTACATGAGTACAGAGTAAAGAGGGTAAACAGTTGAATCCACTACAGTTGAATTCACTTAGGTCCAACCTAAGCTTGTAACACTCTAAGACTTTCTCTGAAGCAAAAAGAACTTTAAGTTCCCCTGCAGGTACAGCCTGGAGATGCAGAGTTTGTCCCTGGGTGCAACTCCCAGTTTATTAGAGACAACAGACTGTAGAAAAATGCTTCATTCTCCTGCTGTCCTCCTGTGGAACAGTTTTGTGGCTCATTCTACACATTTTCTCCAATAAATGAGCCACAGTTGTCCAAAGGGCTTCTCTCCTCCCTGTCTCGCCCTATTTAACACCTGGCTTTGGCTCTAAAATGACCCGTCCTCCAGTTCTTGTTCCAGTCCTGTTTCAGGAGGGAAAAGGTGAGGAGGTTCCTAAGTAAGACACCAGACCTAAAGAGCTTGGGCTTTATGCTTTATATGGGAGCAGCCCAGTAAATGTACCATAGGCCCCAGGTTAGTCCAAGTTTCCCCCTCAGTTTATGTTTACTCACGCATATTTATTACCTTTTTCAATGTAAGCCATGATGGTGGAAAGTTGTGAAGCGCCACTCTAGGCAATGGGAAACATCAAATTTTTGAAGCCAAGGAAAAAACCTAAAAGGTATGTGTTTAAAAAGATGACTTTGGTAGCTGTGTAACAGAAGACAGAAGGAAAAATGAAACTGAGACATTGCTAGAAAGGGTATTGGAGTATTTCAGTAAAAGGGTATGAAAGAAAAACAAATCTGAGATATATTTATGACTGGATGAAGGTCTTCAGGATTAAGAAGGTAAAGTCATTGGGAGAACATTTCAGGAGACATCGAAGTTGCTCAGGATGATTCTGGGAGATGGGGTGGATGAAATGATGGCCAACCTTGAGTACAAGTCTTTGAGAAATGTTATAAAGGAGTTTTAGTAAAGCCAATAAGGGTGAGGACAAGATAGTCATATAAATGATATGCCTCTATGAAGTCTGAAATTTTTCTACAAATATTAACTTTGAATAGATGTCCTTGTGATTCCAGAGCCTTGAGAAAATGGCAACTCAATTTAGAAAGATTAAAAGGGAAAAGGTATTCATATTGTAAAGACAGATTTCAATTAAGACTAACAGGTGGAAGGCAAGTTCTCTGAAGAGGGAGAGAAGGTTACTCACTCTGGAGCACATGTATAGAAGGCACGGTGGATTAGAATTATTCTGCATTTGAGGACTTAGACTTTGCCTTATAAACTTCTATAGTCAGTGTAACATTTAGCATGTTGCAGAGAGTAAGTAAGTTTATTGTACTGCCCTTGCTTTGGGTAGTGAAGGATTTAAAATTTAACTCCGGTAGCTGACATACAGAAGTTGAGTTCCATATATCCTACCAAGCCAGGGGCATGGTAATTAAAATTTCAGCATAATTTTAAGATACAAATAAATACCAGATCCAGATTAGCTCTGACAGATTCTCCAGATTTCAGCACATGGAAATGCAAGGCAGTGTGACATAAACACACTCAAGAATATGAAAGCTAGCCCTGGAGGAAAATATTTTTATTTTAAAAGAGAAAAATAATTTTAACCGCCAGATCCCCAGGCTGTGACAGACAGCACAATTAAATACTAGTGCTGAATTTGATTTAGGAAATAAATGCCAATGAAATGTTTTAAATACACCATTAATTTTATGGATTTTAAGAAATACTGTCCGAAAGATATATTTGAATGAACTGGAACGATAAACATTTCTGCAAGATTTATTCCTAAGCTATAATGTGTTTTCCTGATTACCCAAAATAGAAATGTTCATTCCCCAAATCACCTAACTCTCTTATAATGAAGTATCTAACTAATGATAAGTTATAGTTCCTATTTCATTAGCAGGAGAAAAATTCTGAACATAATCTTTGTTCCAAAGGAAAATAAACACTAAAAGAAAACTTACTCACATAAAGATCCTTTTATAAAGGTGTATACTCTTTCTTGGTAAGTATATCATATGTCTTTGGTATGGATACTATTAACATACATTTTAAGGAATGGGTGCCAACTCGAATTCAAAGGGTTAAATAAACTGTCCTCCTTGCGTATCATACAACGTTTGAAGAAGAATGCATATTAATTCGGTGCAAGAATAGATTTATATTTGATAATAATCCTTTAAACCTCTACTTTCTAAACCACTGTTTTCTTATTTTGTGTTTCTTGCAAGTGATTCTAACTGCATGGTATGAGAGTTGCAGAGAACAGTGAGTGCTGGAGTTAGAAAGTGGCTAAATAATAATGGTGCACCGAGAAATACTAAGTAATCTGGACTTCATTCTACAGGCAACGAGGAGTCATTCAAAGTAAAGCCAAAACATGAAGAAAACATTCACATTGAGTATGTGCAGGTAAGATGATTGTTGCTCTAGAGAGGGCAGCAGGATGAGCCTCTCCAATAGAATTAATGAGAGACATTTGAGCAGAAAGAAATGCAAAAGCCAGCCACACAGCCATCTGGGAAAGAGTTAGCCAAGGG